ATAAATTTGTTTATATATATATATATATATATATATATAATATTTATTATATATATATATACATATATATATATTATATATGCATATATATACATATATATACATATATATACATATACATTATATATATATATATATAATATATATAATTATATATACATATATATACACATATATACACACATATATATACACACACATATATACACACACATATATACACACACATATATACACACACATATATACACATATATATATATATATATTATATATTATATATATATATATATATATATATATATATATATATATATATATAAACATATATAATATATACATATAACATATATATATATATATAATCATATATAATATATATATAATCATATATAATATATATAAACATATATAATATATATATAAACATATATAATATATATATATATACATAAATATAATATAATATAATATATATATATATATATATATATATATATATATATATATATATATATATATATATATATATACTGAGAATCATTAATAAACAGAACTAACTACTGTAATTTCTTAAAGGGCATATGTGAAGTAATTATCGTGCATTGCTTTTTCTTTTAATATTGTTCAATAATGTATGCTTAGGCTATTCATGCAAAAAAAAAATTCGAAGAGACCCTCTGGTATCCCCCAAAATCCCATAGCAACGCCCTTAGAAACGAAGATTGCAAAAACTCAGTGGTCTTCGGCAATCCCCAGTTGTGACATCATTCCCAGGACCAGGGAGAATCTTCTTGAACCGTGATACACACATGCACCGGTGAGTCAAGGATATCATGGAAATGTCCCAGTTTCAAGCTATCAAAGTTTGTAACAAAGGATGCCGCAGCATTGTGTAGCAATTCATTGTTCCCATTCATGTCACCAGCTATATGAATGGCCAAAAGACCGCGAGAGAGCAAGGAAGTGGACACTTTTGTACATCTCAAGCAGAGGAACTTTCAACTTGTGCCAACCAGTGTACTTTGCCTGAAACACTTCAAGCCCGATTGCTTTGCGAACAGAATGGCTTATGACATGGGATTTGCAAAACGGTAAGCCATTTCCAATTTATATTTGTCATGATCACAACAGCGTAAAACAAACTCTGAAAGAGGGAACATTCATTGCATGGGTACAACACAGAGTGCCGAGTGCATTGCAAGTGTGCATGTATTACTACACAGAGGTAAGGTAGGTACACCCCAAAAAGCACAACACAAATAAATACCGATGCCCCTCCACTCGCGAATGGATGTAGGCCTGCGCCACAGGTGCAGACAAGAAATAGCTCAGGAATAATCCGATGAAACTTCACCCTTTTTAAAATTTTCAGTTGTTACTTCACATAAGCCCTTTAAATCTGAAATAAAACATTCAACAGGAACTAAGGAAGTACAGACATTAAGAAATTTCTCCCAAGTAATTTGCTTCTGTCAACAATAATGTGTAGCGAAAATGGTAGGGAGAGAATGTTGTGGATTAAAAATGTCAAGCTGTACCTGACAAACGCAAAACATAAGTGTCAAGTGACTATGAATAGAGTTGATAATCAAAACTGCTGATTAAAAATTTTCACTAATTGAATATCTATTATTGCCATTGGTAAATCTTGACAGTATGGATGCACTTATCACAGACTAAGTACCTAACTCCATATTACAAAATCTACTTAACAATCTAAGTTGCCATGACTGAGAGCCTCCAAGCACACCCCAGGAAATATTGTCTTCACCTCAGTATTGAGTGGACTTAGTCTGTGAGAAGTGCTTTTAGTCTTCCACTAGAGTATCATCGTCAATTTGCCCTAGCTCTGTGCACCCATACCATAAAGATTAAACCCGCTATTTTTAGTCAGCATATTCATCAATATCCTAAAGCACAGATATAAAACATATTAATATGCCAAGCTGAAATTAAGAATCTTCAAATAACACAGACAGAAAAAGGGGGTTCAAACTAAAAAGCTTACCAGCAATTTTGCAGTCACATATAGAACAATAATCTTCTTATAGAAAATTATGCATTTATGAAGTGGCTTGAACTGTAACAAGTCTGTCAAGAGTTTAAGGATGGTCTCTAACTTTGCACTTGTTTTCCACTTTTTCTTGTTCAAAAGAATCTGAAGACGCCTCAAGTACAGTAGATATCCAGAACAAGGTACATCTGGCATCTTATTTCTTTTTATGAATTCTGTTTCAATACCTGCAATATAAATGAAAGTACATTTACAATCACAGAGTAAAATTTGGACATACAAAAATCAAGGGTGAAACAAAGAAACTTTTGACAAGACAGTGCTTGTAAACTTCCGAACACTTTACCACTAAGAAGGAACGAATTCAAACTCTATCTTGAAGTATTATACATGGTGGATATTTGCCTGCATTTGCCAATAAATCATTTGACAGCGCCACTGCCATAGTGGTAGTATTATTTGGTCCTCCACTAGCTCTCATATGACCTCAATATAATGCCCATTCAAGTAAGGTTATATAGATAGGCAAAATTGGAAATAACATGTAACATCTATAGCATTTCCTTTGCTAACTAATAACATAGATACTAGAGAGGGAAAAAAATTCAAAATTCCAAGTGCTCCAAATTCCAGGCAGGGGGGTGCCACACCCCAAACCCCACCCAGAAAAGCAATGAATCCTCCAAATACTCATGGCAGGAGAGAGCTTTTGACCACCATGCGAGAGCAGTGTTGCCAAGTCTGCCTGAGACTCTCTCCTGTCATGAATATGTGGAGGATATTTTGTTTTCCATGGCAGGGGTTGGGGGACAGCAGTCTCCATGGGGAGGTCGTAGGAGGCACAGGAACCCCAGACTGTAGAGTTTGGTCTTAGTTCTAGGGTAACTTTCCTCTCAGGTTTAGTTCTTTTTTAAAACATCTTCCACGCATAATATTCTTTTGACCTTTCCATGCACCTGTTTCATTATATGTCCACAGATCCGTCCGTGCAAAGGTAGACAAAAAGATGTTTTCCGCGCATTAAAAAATGTAAAATAATCTACAGTCTGGCAAGTCCCTGCATTAGACAATCTAGTGACTGATTCTGTGTAGAATATTCACATTTTACCCTGTAATTTCCCTGGTACCTTTCATACTCCCCCCTGCTATTGAGGCCAAGCTTGTCACTAATAGAGAGTTGGGGGGGGGGGTTCCGCACAATGATACCTGCATATTTGCATTATAGATGGTGAAAAGACACATATATTGTCACAATCCATTAGGCAGATGTATTAGAAAAATTTATTATATTATTTACTTGTTTTCAAAACCTGGCCTATTCCCCAGTTATACTTAATGCTGCGTTCGGAATTGCTCGTCTTGCTCGTCCAAACATCTTGTCCAGGACCAGCAGGACAAGTGGGCCGCGTTCAGAACCTCCAAGACCCTTCCTGCCCAGAATGCAACCAGCTCGAATGTAAACATTCACTATCATACCAGTGTCTTTATTTTACACACTGCATAGGTTTTGTAACTCCTTTGATGCATATTTAACTTACCTGCAACTGACAAACACAAAAATATCCTTAGATAACACCAATAAAGGGTCATAAAATTACCCACGAATATCTTGGGGTTACCTGCAACTGTCAATGTTTACATACAAAATCTATTGTGACGTCATCTCATCCTGCTCAGCCACCTTCGCAGGAGGGCGAGTTGGACGAGCTAGACTATTTGTCCGGGACGAGATAGTGGAGGTTCCAAACAGTCAAAACATCTCGTCCAACTGGTCTGGACGAGATAGATGAGCAGTTCCGAACACATCATTAGGCCTCCATCTGTTATGGGGACTAATATCGTCACTTAGGTTGGCAAAATTTTATGGACTCAAACTGCTCTATTTGGACAAAGAACATCAAATAAAATATGTCGGCACCAGAATCGATAGTATTAATATATGTTTGTATATGTTACTTCTTTTGACAGCTTTGAAATACTTTTTTGCAAAAGCATACAACTCGAAACTTCGAATGAAATTTAAAACGAGAGTCTTCTTGTGATTTTCATTCTATATATGCTTACCCTTGCAGGCTTGGTCCAATCCATTCTTCACACTATATTCATACAACCAGTTGAGGACTTGAACATCTAACGATGAGGATTTGATTAACATTGCTGTGCCCCGAGTGACTCCATAACGAGACCCTTGTTTATAGTCTACCAGCGTTCGCCTA